GGGTGGATGACTGGAGTGTTTTTTTTTTCCCACCTGGGCATCATGGACTTTGTTACTCTAAAACTTTCTTTTTAAGAAGCAGATATACAAAGGCTATATCTGAATGAACTTAAGAAAAATGCCTTCAAATGTTTTCACGAGAGTACAATTATCTAACTTAAAACTGGAGCCTGGTACTGGAAAGCTGCTTTGAGAGGTTTGGGCCTTTGCTTAAGAGCAGAGTTTATCTCTCAGGGTGTTGGATGTGAACCTAAACAGTAGCTGTGTGTTGATCGTGAGAAAAAGGATCTGCTGAGTGTTCATTTTGTTCTCTTGAATGTCACTTCTGGAAATTAATCTCAGTAAACTAGAGAAGCATCTATCAGATCTGACCGGTCTTTTAGATGACTAAAACTTCCAGTTTTGGTCTTTCTTCATGTGTAAAATGTTTTTCCTTCTGAAGGATTGTTTTTGTCTGGTAATGCCAGAACTGAACCTAGGTAAGTTCTTCACTTGAGAAGTGAATAAACCCCATCAGGGGAACACTATTATATGCAGTTTATCTGATTCAATTGAGAAATAGTACGATGAATGCCAACATGATTTATGCCTGAGTCCTTTTTCTAAAGAGGTGTTGCAAGCTGATTTTATTTTTTTCCCTTAGAGGTAAAATTTAAAGAAGAACAAACATATTTAACCTCTCTATCATTCAGAATACCATCTGGAATACCACAGAGATTCATAAAAGAGATGAAAATAAGTCAGTTCTTACCACTTGAGTGCTCCTAGTTGTCAGGATTTGCTTTAAAAATTTTAAGAGTAGGATTCAGATTAAAATTTCAAATGCTTGAATCTATGCCAGAGGACAGGTTGAACTCAACTGAGAGCAGGTGTATCCGTGCAGTCAAAATCATTGTTGTATTATAAATGTGAGGTGCTTTTTAGACAAGGCAATTTGGAATGTATCCCAAATACACCCACATAACTGCTATTTGTTTGAACTTATATATAGAGTAGGTATTTTTTTTTTTTTAATTTTTGGCATCTGAAGAAATTGTCTCTATTCCTAAGTCTTAGAATGTGTGGGGAGAAGTGGTGGTGGTGGCATTAGTCAATGATAAAAAATACTTCCGTTCTTTAAAACATTATTTAATTATCTTACATTTTTCTTTGTTTTACTAAATAGTGTGATATTGCTTTAGTGAAATTGAATTAACAACTGTGTGCATGTTACTGTTAATCTAATTTAAGCAACTTCAGCATCATGCAGATAACCTGCTATGTCTTCGATTCTTTTAAGAGTTGCCTCATTTGCTGTGTAGTAATTTTATTTACAACATAGATAGCACTTATGATCATAGAAGGCACTTATTAACAATTCCATGGAAGCATGGAATCTGTAACTTCACTGCCTAAGGAGGAGTACAGTTCCTGCTTCAACACATAGACCCATTACGGGCCATAGGAGTTGATACCTCCTTTTAACAATTCGAACAAATCTCATATTTTGAAAAGTATTCTGTTTGGCAAACATGTTGAATTAACCTAATTGTACTTTCTCTTTAAAATATATTGAAAGCAAAAATTTCAGAGATTAATGTTAGTTTTACTAATGCTACTCTTTTCTTATAATATTTTAATTTTTCAATTTAAACAATCATTGTTTCTTCATTTAAAGAGATTTAAGGACACTCATGAAGTGGTAGTAGAGATCTGAGCTAAGCTGTCAATATATGCATTATTAAAATGGTGGACAGAATGCTGTTACTGCTGTAGTGTTGATGACAAATAGACATGCTTAAATAAAGTAGTTTACTTACTTTTTTGTCAGGTCATGCATTAAGGGTATTCGATTTCCTCTACAGTCACCATGAAGTGTGGAAGAAGTTAAGGAATTCAATGAAATCAGCCTGCAATCACTACTTGTACATTAGACATTCATTTAGGCTTATTCTGCTTTCAGTGATAGTCTAGTTATTATAAAGATGCATTTGTCAGGGCTCTAGATAGATAAATTCCTTTTTTTTTTCCTCAAAAAAAGAAGAAAATGTCCTTTATTGCTACTTACGATTTTTACTGGTAGTTTATACATATCTCACAACAAAACTTTAATCCAAAAAGCAGCTTTATGTTCTTACAGTAAGAATTTTTTCTTTTGAATGGGTTAGTATGAAATGAGCATTCATTATTTTTAATGCTATTCTGTGCTACTGCTTCAGCCTCATGTTTTTTTAATCCTTTCCTTTTCAAATTTCTTTAATTGAAACATATTTTAACTGGGTAGAAATCTGCAGATCAAAACTAGGGAATGAGATGAAAACTGTAAATAGATCTCAACATCTTACTGTGTATTATTCTATAAACCAGGATTTACAGACTGTGATTACCTCCACCAGCTCCAACATTCAGAGTGGAAAAGTTGGGGGAAAAGAAGTTTAATAGATTGGCTCGGTTTTCCTTTATTAATAAAGAGAGACACTTTTTTCTGTTTGTGACAAAATACAAAATGTGCAAAGTCAGAAGTTTCTATTAGCATTTCTCTGTTGTTTTGAGGAAGATACAATGATTCCTGCCCACAGGCTTTATGAGGTTCATTGCACATATGTTCTCCTTCTGTTGCACAAGAGATACAGGAGGATTGTGACTTCAAACTTCTGGAAAGATAATGCCACTCGGTGTATTTGATTGCTGTAGTTTTCTGCAAGTACAAGCTGAAAGAAGGTATTTTTTGTCCTTCTGGTGTGCACATGTACATAGCCAGGGGTGACCTGGCTACAGCAGCAGCACTCCTTACAGCAGGACTACTCGTTCTCAAATGTGCAGTTCAGAGGTGTTTCTGGCTTTTAGCTATTCTCCTCAGCAGTGTATTTCTGCGTTCCCCTGGAGTATTGATGACTCCTCCCTGCTGTTGTGTGTTTGCAGAACAGACCTTTGTGCAAGTACTTCCTTTCTTAGACTGGTTTGGGGCAAATAAGAGAAATAAAACTTTTCTGAAAACATTTCTAAAGCATATTATATCTTTAAGTTGTTATACCATTTAATGTTTAAAAAGCCCTGGTTTAGTGAGTTTGACTGTTGATGTTATTTTTAGTACTAGAGGAAAGCACACAGCCCATGGAAATTACTGTGCTGGATTTTAAGTTATGCTTCCTGCTGGCTTACTTGACCTGCAGACCTGCCACACCACTCTAGTGGGACGGAATGATGTGAGATGAACACAAAGGAAAATTAAAGGAATAGATTTTCCTCATTTGGAGGCATGAAAAAGTCTTATTATATTTCCCCTTCCCATCACACTTCATGCAAGAGTCAAATATGAATTATAAGAATTATAAACCTTAAGTCTAAGTTCAACATCTTTCATTCAGCCCTGTAGTAACTCCACTCAATTTTTATGTAAAAAAATGTCCAGTGGTAGTTTACTTGTTAATATACAGTACACTTCTTTATTTGTGAAAATTTGTATTGTTTTTAAAGGTCAACATGATTGTTTAAAACATTTATCTCTGGTATTAATCAAATGACAGATTCTCTTATGACAGCAGATAGACTCTGTGAAAAGATTCCAGTCCCATTATTGTCCTTGACACAAAATAAAGATTTTTTTTGCTTTGTTATTTCCTTCACGAAAGCAGACTCCCAAGAACAGCTACAAACCTTTTGGTCAGTTCTTAACCATTTAATAAAAAGTGTATCTAAATATTTATAATAGAATAATGTAGTTATTTCCTTAAGTTTTCTTTTCTGAAATGTGTTAAGAATGTTTTAACTGTGAGTGCTCATATTAGAAACTGTATATGTTCCCACTATTAGTTCTGGTAGGTATTTCCTATACAGAGAGTCACATATCAAATATAATTAAACATGTAATGAACTTTGTAATATTGAATTTATAATCCTTCATTACTTCATATAAAAATACAAATTTTGTTTAATAATTAACTAAATTGGTGAATTTATTATGTTACAAGCTTATATAATGCTGATGTTGTAAACAGAATTTTCTAATCCCTGCAGTAAAATATGTTTTCTACCCATGGCATATGGCTCTCCTTCTTGCAGTATTGTGTTTTGTATTGCACTGTACTATTTAATTACCTGCATATTTTACCTCAATGCTTCTTGAAACAGTATGCATTCAACAATGTTTCATAAATATAGAAGAAACTGTTGAAATAAAAGGGTGGAAAGGACCATTTAGAGAAATTCACTGTAAGATGCAGAAGAACAAACGCAAGATGCAACCCGCAAGCTGGGTTTTATCTGCATTTGTGTGGTGCACATTTAGAATCAGATTAATAGACTATTATAGTCTCATTAACAAAAATAGAGAAATGAATAAATAAATACTGAGATATGTATACTTTCAGTGACCTACCAAAGCTTTAAATACTAACCTTGAGTAACTTACTCATGGTCCTTTAAAAGCAGGGTGTAAAAGAGAGTAAAAGAGTAAAAGGAGCTGCTGCTGAAGAAAGAAAAAGGCAGTATGCTGACAGCACATTTGCTCTTTTGAATACAATGTGATTTCAGGTTAATCAAAAGCTGATTATTTTAATTTGTATGTGTGTGTGTGTATTTTATTGCTTCTTGCCATACACACGTGGAAGCTGCTGCTGGAAATTCTGTTCTAACATTGGTATTCTGACTTGGTATTTCCTTATATATCCACTTACAGTAATTTTTTTTCTTAGACTTTCAAGAGGGAGCTAAAAACAAAAGAACCTGTTATCAGGAGTGCCCTTGAGACGGTGCGAATCTTCCTGGCCGAGCAGCCTGTGGAGGCAGTGGAGAAGGTCTGCCCGGAGCCCAGAGGTAATTGAAGCAAGAACAGGGTAATAACACATTGCTGGAAAGATCAGTGATGATCAGTGATGATTAAATAAATCCTGCCAGCCGCTCTGAAAGCATTCCTTTTACACTTCGAGCTGAATGCCAGTATTCAGAAAGTAAGCTAAAAATACAGATGAAAGCAAGCCTTAGCAATCCTTCTGAACACTGTGGTACTAAATAGACATGCATATTTATAAGCAGATTTTGAAACTGCCTTTAAACCTTCAGGACCTGTCTATAATTATAACCTCATTTGAGGGCTCAAAGCTGCAATTTAAGCTAAAATTCACCGTGTAGTCTCAGTACTACAGGAGATCCCAAATCCACCTAATTGCAGCAAAAGCTTCACCGTGATTAATATTTATCTATGTGCAGAAATATTGTGCTGAATCAGCTGATAAATTTCTAGCTACACCTTGCATGTTTCAAAATGCCTTTATGTACTTAAATGCATATTTTGCTGATTTTTATGGTGGCAAGATTTAAGTTTTTCAAGAGATTTTGAAACAAGGATACATTAATAAAACACACAATGTCAGTAAACTTCTGCAAAGGCAAGCAGATGAGGTCAGAACTGAGTGGGATAAGCTGAATGCACAGTCTGCTGACTGGCAAAAGAAGATCGACGATGCTCTTGAAAGACTGCAGGGCCTTCAAGAGGCGATGGATGAACTGGACCTGAAGCTGCGCCAGGCTGAGGCATTCAAGGGATCCTGGCAGCCAGTGGGGGATCTGCTGATTGACTCCCTGCAGGATCACTTGGAAAAAGTCAAGGTACGTGTCATATATCGGTATTTCTGAGTATAAAATAGTTCAGTGGTATGAATCCCCATATCAGTAATTAACTTTTAGAGTGAGAAATCTTGTGCCATGGTGATTCATATTAAAAGGTGCATACAAAGAGTTTTATAATTTCAGAAGTTAAAATGCAATGGGATCCTCATTGAGAATGTATGTTGCTGACATGGGTAAAAGAACTATAGAAATGTAGAAAATCCTCAGCACACTCACTGTAAACTCAGGAGAGGCAAAACTGGTAACTAAAGAAAGCAAAATAAAATAGATAGGAGACTATATGGTAAAAGTCTATTGAATTAATCTTTTTCTTTGTTATATTTTCTTAAATATGGTGAATACAAAATTGTTTCTATAATTGTGGAGTAGGATTTAAATAATTTAAAATATATGATTTTTCATGATGGTGGTATTTGCTCTCTGTGGTTTTTTTGATAAATAGGCTTCATAACTAAAGGTAGTTCTAACAAAAAAGCAGCAATCCTGGAAAACTTGTCATTATTTTTTATAACTTGATGCCTATCTGCTTTTAAGGGTTGTTTCATAAAACCATTGCTTATTAAGAAACTTGGGCAGACTTGTCCTCTTGCAGCAGGACTGCCATGGACAGACTTGATAAATAATACAGGATTCCTTCAGCCAGAGCACAATAGAGGCAGTTGCCATTTTGATAAGAACAAAGTGCCTCTGTTCCAGTCACATAAATGGGAATCATCAGTCATTTTGAAAGAGACCTGAGCTAACTGTTATTTTCTCTAGATGAATATTAGGATCTAAGAAAGAGGAAATAGAATGACTAATGGCAAGAAAAAAAAAAAGCCTCAAAAAATCAAATGCAGTTTATTAAAATGGAAGTCCTTGAGTTTTAATCACACAGAAAGTTTAATGAGAGTCCTGTGCAGATGCTGTACAAGAACAAATGAAATAGTTAGTAGCTGATGAACAGCTAGCTGCAAAATTTGTTTATCTTCATTTAAGTTCATAAATGAACAGAAAAAATCTATTTATAAATTCTCAGAAAGTGCTGTTACAACCATGGTTTCTTTTTGTTTTTTTTAATTTTGAAGAGGATATCCTGAACAGAAACACTGAATCTCTGATGTTACTGGAAAACAAAGCAAGTTGCTTAATTCTAAAGCTATGACCGAGAGTGTTGACTATATAATTATAGTTCTGAGTCCTATTATGGTTTAAAAAATAAATACATTCTAGATAACATAATTAATGACTTGATAATTGATTCACATAGGGTTAAATACTTCTCCTTTGCAAATGTCTCAGTTAAAAGCTAAATTTGTTGAAATTATGTAGCCTTCAGGCAAAAGTTTTTAGTAAAAACTAAGGGTTTTTTCCTATGTAAACTGTATTATCAGCCAAACATTATCCAATCGATACATTATCTATGTCTCATCTTTGCTCTCCAAGCATCTTCAAAACATTGCTCATATATGATTGTATTTCTTGCAAATCCTCCTCTTAATATGGATCACAGTAGCTTTCCCAAACCTAACCTGATGAATAACTTCCTGGGGAATGTGTTCAACTGGGTGCCATTTGTCATTGTTCTCTTTAGTTATAGCTGCTGGAGATGCTAAGGTCATGGCATAACTTTGAACTCACACTAAATAGTGGATCCTTGGTCAGTATTAGTGTTGTACTACTATTATTATTATTATTATTATTATTATTATTATTATATTATCATTATCATTATCATTATCATTATCATTATCATTATCATTATTATTACATATGCTTCCTCTGCATTAATGTGCAAATTGGTGTTCATCTCTGATTGTGAGGACAAGAGATAGTTTCACCCATCTGCTCCAAAGGATGCAACCTAGACTAGAGGCTATCTATAATGAAAGGATTCAGATTTCTCTGCTGTCTTCTGTTATTCTTCCTTCTTTCTTCTCTCATATAAGTGGTCTTATCTTCAGACTGAAATGTAACTTTCTTAATAACACACATTCTTTCTGTCCAGTAAGATCCAAACCATCATTAAACTGTCTTAAACTCAGTTCAAGACCAAATGAATCTATTATTTGTCCCTTAATATCCATTGCCTGATCAGTTTGATTGTAGCTCAGATCATATTTTAGACATGGCATATGATTTCTACTCCCCTCTGCGGCAAATTTAATGATGCTTTCTCCCTGCAATCACTAACAAAATATTTTCATCAGCATGCCTGGAACACTTAGGGTCTCATGAGACCACCTCTCAGATTTTATATTTAGCTTTTGCTGCAATGCAATTGATATGCAACCATGCCTACCTCATCCACTTGATATCTTATTCAAAGACCCATTCCAGGAATTGATGGTACAACCAATTTGTCTCTCTTTCTTCCCCAAAGATTCTCCTTTGCCATCCAACACCATGATAATGCTTATGCTAACAGCATGCAACAATCATTACGTGTCATGCTGATACCTCCTCTCTGTTTTGTTGTCTCTCTGTAGACATCTGCTGAGAAATACTAATAGAAATTAGTACCCATAGGAAGTTTCAGGTTTTTATACTTTACAACTCAGGAAAAATAGGTTTCTTAAATTAAAAGTTGCTGTTTTGAGAAGTTGTACACAGAGTTTTGTGACTGAGAAGCCAGTTTTAATGGTGTGGTTTATCTTTAGCTAAAGGTAGTTCAGCTACTCTCAAACATACTCAGGAGAGCACAATGTAAAGCATTTTTTTCTGCCAGTGATATTTTAACTAGCAGCAATATAACTGCTTCAGTTTTCTGTCATACACAGCACTGTAAGGGAACAGCAGAGCCTCTAGACTCCATGAGTATAACTACATTCTGATTTTTTTCTTTGCAACCTTCATAAAAGAAAACAGACCATACCAAACAAACAAAACCAAATCCAAAACCAAAAAAAATTCAACAACAAAGATAATGAAGAGCAGGCAGTAGTGTCTGTGGTTTCTTTAGTTCAAAATAGAAGTGCATATCTCTAGAACACTTCCAAATAAAGGGTTATTCAGGTAGAATCATGTAGACTTTTTTCAATTAACTCCAGTCTGCTATAGGATAATTGGTTCTCCTCCACTGTCGCAAAAAGAAGGCACCTTGACTCAATATAATGATTGATAACTGTACAAAGCAGAACATGTAGAATTTAGTGACATAAGTCTTGTATTTTTCTGCAACAAATTTTCTTGATAGCCTTAGTCTTGCTACTTAGGAACTGCTGGTTGTTCTTGTAGATTCACTTTCACAGTTATGAGTAAATGGACTTTGTGTATAGATTATGGACTTCTTGTATTTAATGTAAGAAGGATAATCATAAAGGCTACAAATATCCTTTTAAACTCTTTTCTCAGAGCCTATTTGCAATTTTAATACAATTTCTAGTTGAATTACATGCTGTTTATTTCAGACTTTCTTCAGCTTAATTGACAGTTGAAGCCAATTGCATGTCACTGACAAATGTTCACTGGAAAGTGTCAGCCTGAAATTTATTTATTGTAAAACAAATAGAGTTTGCAGTTATTCACAAATCAGAAATGAACTGATCGCTGATCTGCTCATCATCTACTCCAAAATTACTCTCTGTGGACAGGGACTGGGGACAATCCTTTTGTCTCTAGCCATCTTTCCTCAAAGTGAGACAAGTAAGGCAATCCATCCAAATAATTATCTGAGTTCTAGTTGTGTTCATATCTAGCCATAGGAAAAAAGTAAATAGATTTGCAAAGATTAAAATTCCATATTATTACAATCATACTAAATCAGAAATTTCAATTTCAGGACACTGAAACAGGGTAGGCAGTTCATTTTACTAATAATAAAATAATAATAATTTTAAAGTCTTATATATTCTTCTGTAGTTCACTTTGGTACTGTTCAGCTACTGCTGTGCTGCAAAGAGGTATTTCAGCAAAGTGAACTCTTACAGTGCTTTTATGAGGAAACTGTTGACAGCTGCCTGTTATGGGTATTCTGACAGCAGAGTTGTTGAATTTCTAATTTATGTTCTCAGCTCAAAATTATTTTAAATGCTTGGGTAATTAATAATTGTCTATCCTTCCCAAAAAAAAAAAAAGCATTTTTGTATGGAGCTATTAGGGGTCACATAGAGGGAAATTAGTGTATGACACCAAAAGGAAAGCCAATAGTCCCCATTCATCCCCTCCTAGCAATGGAAATGTGAACTGGAGATCAGATTTAAATAGATCAATAGAATCTATGCAAGAAATAATTACCTGGAAGATGCATTGAATAACAAGAATTTCCAATCAGCTTGATATCAATAGCAGTGCCAGATTCTTGTTAAAGCAAATAGAGGTCAGATTGCAATGGGATGCCTATTCTCTTGTTAATTTTTGCTAACATAAAATTATGCTATGCTCCAAATTACGTTAGCAGAGCTCATGCTGTCCAGTCTGTAACGTAAAATGCCATTACACAGATAGAAGCTTCTGAGATACTTTTTCATTCTCTTTCTTTACTGATAGACTTTTTACTATAGCTACTGTCCTTACTATTCTTAGTTTTAAAAACCACAAAAATGCTAAAGTATTTCATATGCAGAATGTTCACTATGAACTGTGATTTGATATGGTGTTATCAATTTGTTTGTATACAATTAGAAGATGACAACATCCATTGGTTCGTAATTGAATAGGAAACTATTTGCCTGCAGTGTAGGAGGTGGAAGTGTTAATGTTTTCTTCATATTATAACTAAAATAATTACTGTTACAAATTCTGTGATAGAATCATACAATAGTTATTTATAATATGTTCTTAGACTGCTTCAAAATGCATATACATTTTTCAGTTTAGTTTGAAGATGGCAGTTCCCACCAAGGGCTATAATCAATCTGGGTTAAGATGTTCTATTTTCTTAAGTCTCCTTTCAAGTTCTGTGCTGGACTCTGGGACTTTTAAAACTATTATACAGAATAACAATTTCCTACTAATAAATTTTCCAGCTTTCCAAAACCCAAAAATTAGTTGCTAAGACA